GTGTAGCAATGGGGGTCGATTATTACAAAGTTCTTCTGGTGGATCGAAACGCGAAAGACGATGATTTGAAGAAAGCTTATCGCAAACTCGCCATGAAATGGCATCCCGACAAGAACCCTAACAGCAAAAAAGAAGCCGAAGCCAACTTCAAGCAGATCTCTGAAGCTTACGATGTAAAATTCTCTTACACAAGTCCAATTATTTTCCCTGTTTGATGAAACCCGTTTTCGTTTTCAGAGAAATTTCCAATTTATTCTCAGAATTTGAGTTTGAGCAGTTCTGTAGTTTCTCAATTCACTTTGGTGACAAAAATCTGGAATTTGGTACCAAATTGCAAAAAAATTTGGGGGGAAATATTTCTTATGATGTTTCGATTCGTTGCATTGATCCAAGGTTTTGAGTGATCCTCAAAAGCGAGCTATCTACGATCAATACGGAGAAGAAGGTCTAAATAGCCAAGCTCCGCCTCCCGGAGCCGGCGGATTTCCGGGTGGTTCAGACGGAGGGCCTTCATTCCGGTTCAACGGTAGAAGCGCCGATGACATCTTCTCGGAGTTCTTTGGCTTCCCAAGACCCTTTGGCGACTCACGTGGTGCAGGTCCCTCTGGTGGGTTCCGGTTCCCTGAGGACGTTTTCTCGTCTTATAGGTCGGGTACAGGAGAAGCCTCGAATGCTATACCGAGGAAATCTGCTCCTATAGAGAGACAACTTCCTTGTAGTTTGGAGGATTTGTATAAAGGAATCACTAAGAAGATGAAGATCTCTCGGGACGTCCTCGATTCCAGCGGGTCAGTTTTCTATACTTCTTTCAACCTTTTAGTCAAGGTATTCACCTACATTGCTATGTATTTTTCTTATGTAGTTAAGTTCGAATAAATCGATTTGCTTATGAAGTTACTTAAAAGGTTTTACTTAGAATGGTCCATATTGATGTCCGTGACCATGTTTCAGTTTTCGAAATCTAGAGATTGGGAATTGGATAAGAGATATTAAGACGTAGTTCTAGTTATATTAAGATATGTAGATAAGATAGATTAAGCAGTGAAGTTATGTGAATTTTATTGAACCAAAGTTGTTTGGCCCTTAACTAAGTATTTGCAGTTAAGAGCGAGTGAATCAGAGATTAATCCATTTGCACTTTTGAGATATCACGCAGGGACATTAGAGTTCCTTCTTGTAGCTACTAGCTTTAATGTCGTATCGGCAATGGAAGTTAAAAACGATCTCTTTGTTCCGATGCAGGAGAGCCACAACGGTCGAGGAGATCTTGACCATAGAAATCAAGCCGGGATGGAAGAAAGGGACTAAGATAACCTTCCCGGAGAAAGGGAACGAGCAGCGAGGAATCATACCGTCAGATCTTGTGTTCATAGTTGATGAGAAGCCACATGCTGTGTTCAAGCGAGATGGGAACGACCTTGTGATCACACAGAAGATCCCTCTCGTGGAAGCCCTCACTGGTTGCACCGTTCAGGTTGCAACTTTGGATGGAAGAACGATAACAGTTCCAGTCAACAATGTGATCAGTCCTTCCTATGAAGAGGTGGTGAAAGGCGAAGGCATGCCAATCCCTAAAGACCCGTCAAAAAAAGGGAACTTGAGAATCAAATTCAACGTTAAGTTCCCGTCGAGGCTAACACCGGAGCAGAAAACTGGAATCAAACGGATGTTTTCGGCTTCGTAGATGATTTAAATTGACACCATCTATCTATCTCTCTTTCTGCTACGTTTTATTTCAGTTGGATCTTTGGGCGGTCGTTGTGAAATGCGTAGGTGTGTGTGTGGGGTTTTATTGTGTGGGAGATTGTGAGATCATTTTAACGATGTTGTTTTAACTTCGCATTTAGGATTCTCATCGTCCTTCAAAGCTTTTGGTTTTGGTTTTGGTTTTAGTAGATTTTTTTGTTCTTTCCTTCTAAGTTGTTATTAGATTGGAAAAGAAAAACTTAATAAAGATTATTTACTTTTTAACTTGATAGAGCTGTATTTGAAATTTTAAACTCCTCAAATTAGTTTTGATTAATGCATATCAGTGCAACTTTTATTTTAATTTGTTCTAACAATCTTGCAGAAGTTTTTTCACCTTGTAACGCTCCTTTTATGGGTTTGATACC